ATTCCATTTATCCTCAGTATTTTGTCACTAAAGAGTTTATGCCAGTCAATATTTTGGTAAGATGCCTTAATCTTATTGATATTGGCTTTTTTTAAATTTTATGTTTTAGTATTCCCCTATCTGCATTTGCTTTTTGAGTTTATAATGACTCTGTCATCTATTATGTAACTGTGCTAGGTCAGGTTTGGGCCCCATTCCAAAGAATACTGGCCAATTTGCGTTAGGAACATTGTTGAACTCTTTGCTGCAACTCTGTGTAATTACAAAAAATAGGACACATATATCATGCCAGTTCCTTGTATGTGGAATTCGAATTACTTAATACCCACTCTCCCAATCATCAGTTTGTTCCCATGTTTGTCGCAATCAGTTTTACAGACAAACCATGACTAGCGGTGGATTCCCTGTTAATTGAAATTAGTGTTATATTTCAAGATCTATGAAAAATAAATACGAAAATGTTAGCGCTCCAAACAGAATAATAAACGTCTCGTTTCTCAAATTGTACTCTAAAGGCAGTAAGATAAACAAAGTAACACAATGTTTGACCCCTCTTAAGGTAGCAGCACTGTATCGTTTTTACATATCATCTGCTAATTAAGAGACATATAAAAAATGTTAGACTCCTTTAATTATAAATAAACCATCTATATTACGGCTTAAAATAATTATTAAAAAAATGATAAAAATCTAATTATTTATTTGAAATAAAACAAGTTGGGGTGATTCAAGCAATTATGTAAATCACCAAAATCTGTAATACATAGACCATGGATATAACAAAATAAAAAAGCAGAAATAAAGCATAAAATATTACTCAATAATAATCTGATCATACAGACTCTAATCCAACAGGCAGTTCTCTGCTTAATCAGTGTGGAGCCCCTACACTGAAGATGTCCCGAATATAAAAGTAACTCAGATAGGACTGCTCGTATATAGATGGTTGATGAAATAAATGATAAGAATAAAATGATAAACAACCCCGGCGGACAGGGAGCTCTAAAACCCACCAGACTGGTAAATATCGGCTAAGGGAGCTGCGCTGGGACACCAAGTCTGAAAAAAAACTCTGGGGATGAGCCAGAGCAACTTACCTTGTTCGTCGTACCTCACGTCAGGCTGGGGGAGCACGCCAATCTGCCCGCCAGGAGTATGTGGGTCGGACCACTTTGGCTGATCGCTGACTGATTCTGCAACAGGGGATTACTACCTGGTGCAAGAGTTTACTTTGTTTATTTTACTGCCTTTAGAGTACAATTTGAGAAAGGAGACGTTTATTATTCTGTTTGGAGCGCTCACATTTTCATATTTATTTTTCGTATAGGTTCTCAAGTCGCTCAAGTTCTATGTGATGCAGCCCTTATGATGTTCATATACACAATACTTTATTATAGATCTTTTAAGATTTGTTATTTTCTAATCAGTTCCTTGTTTTACTTTGTTGTATATTTCAACATCTCCCATGGAGATTTAAGGGACACTCAAGACTCCTAAAGCACTTCATGTGTGAAAAGGGTGTCTTTTCAATAGAACCTGGCACTGTTGTAAATGAATCTTGTTTATACCTCCTGGTTGTCAATTAAACAAAAGTCTTGTTGCAGTGTTACAGTGGAGCTAAACTCAAGAGGCAAGCAATTGCTCAGAGCACCTGCTTTGCGAAGACTTCTGATTGAGCTTCATTGGCAAGTCTTGACTGGTTAGCCATAGTAAATCTGGGCTGGGTTAAAAGAGGACAGCTTCCAAAAGACAAGAGATCTGCAGCTTTTGCAAGCTGTTCTTAGATATACCCCCAATGGAATTTTTTTTTTTTTTTTAAATTACACTTTGTCAGAGTAGGGTCATTTTAACAGTTTGACATGGGGTTTTCTATAATACTATCTACTTCAAAATATGGTAGTGTTTAGGTAGTGATGATATCTTAGTTTGTAACAATTTTGAAAAGGATGCAGATTCTGCACTTGTTACCATTCTACAATTTAAAAATTTACTCAATAACTATTAACTCTGTACATTTACTCAGAAACTAATTTTTGCAGTGTAAAACAATTAACCTAAATAACATTTTACAAAACATTTTCATTAGACTCTTTTCTGTGTCCATTACACTGTGAAAGGCAGTGCCATCAGAGCAAAAGGCTTATAGTGGGCAGTCTCATGGGGAATGATGAACATAAAGTGCCTGTTGCAGCTATGAAATAGTATGGGATGCTTCCCAAGTGTCCCTCTGTAGGAGACAGAGTCCCTATTTTTCAACCAAATTACTACTTCCACTTTTCTATCCTACTAGCAGGGACGTTTTAGCCATGAGGCAAACAAGGCATTTGCCTTGGGTGGCATTTTCCAGGGGGTGGCAAAAAAAGCCGCCCCCAAATGCCCAGAGCAAATGTCTTGTTAGCCTTGCGGCTAACTGACATGCCGGTCGGGCTGATGGGCTGGCTGCTGGGTGGTCGGGGGGCGCTGGCAGGCGGCTGTCGAGGGAGCACTTCCTCTGAGCTGTCTGCTTAGCTCCCTCGCGCGCCGCAGAGTGAGGCTGGGAGCCGGAATATGATGTCATATTCCGGCTCCCAGCATTACTCTGCGGCGCATGAGGGAGCTGAGCAGAGTGCTCAGGGGAAGTGCTCCCTCACCAGCCACTGGACCCCCAGGGAGAAGGAGCACCCCCCCCCCCCAGCATTCCCAAAGGTAAGGAGGCTGGGAAGGGATAAATAAAAAAAATGTGTTAATGTGAGTGAGTGTGTGTGAATGTCTTTTAGTGTGTGTGTGTGTGTTAGTGTGTGTATGTTAGTGTGTGTGTGTGTTAGTGTGTGTGTGTATTAGTGTGTCTGTTAGTGTGTGTGTGGTAGTGTCTGCTAGTGTGATAGTGTCTGTTAGTGTCTGTCTGTTAGTGTGTGTGTGTGTTATTGTGTGTGTGTATTAGTGTGTCTGTTAGTGTGTGTGTGTGATAGTGTGTGTTAGTGTGTGTGTCTGTTAGTGTGTGTCTGTTAGTGTGTGTTAGTGTGTGTGTGTCTGTTAGTGTATGTCTGTTAGTGAGTGTCTGTTAGTGAGTGAGTGTCTGTTAGTGTGTGTCTGTTAGTGTGTGTCAGTGGTGTGTGTGTCTGTTAGTGTGTGTGTGCTAGTGTTTCTGTTAGTGTGTGTGTGTCTGTTAGTGTGTGTGTGTGTCTGCTAGTGTGTGTGTGTGTCTGTTAGTGTGTGTGTGTGTGTGTGTTAGTGTGTGTGTCTGCTAGTGTGTGTCTGTTAGTGTGTGTCTGTTAGTGTGTGTGTCTGTTAGTGTGAGTGTGTTTGCCTGTGAGTGTGTGTGTGTGTGTCTGCTAGTGAGTGTGTGTCAGTGTGTGTCTGTTAGTGTGTGTGTGTGTGTCTGACTGTGTGTGTCTGTTAGTGTGTGTGTGTGTGTCTGTTAGTGTGTTTGCCTGAGTGTGTGTGTGTCTGCTAGTGAGTGAATGTGTCAGTATGTGTCTGTGTGTGTCTGTTAGTGTGTGACTGTGTGTGTGTGTGTGTCTGTTAGTGAGTGTGTTTCTGTTAGCTTGTGTATGCGTATCTGTCAGTGAATGTGTGTGTGTTGTGTGTGTGTCTGTTAGTGTGTGTGTGTGTGTGTCTGTTAGTGTGTGTCTGTTAGTGTGAGTGTTTGCCTGTCAGTGTGTGTGTGTCTGCTAGTGAGTGAGTGTGTGTCAGTGTGTGTGTGTCTGCTAGTGAGTGAGTGTGTCAGTGTGTGTCTGTGTGTATCTGTTAGTGTGTGTGTGTCTGTGTGTGTCTGTTAGTGTGTGTCTGTTAGTGTGTTTGCCTGTGAGTGTGTGTGTGTCTGTGAGTGAGTGTGTGTGTCTGATAGTGAGTGTGAGGGTGTTTCTGTTAGCTAGTGTATGCGTATCTGTCAGTGAATGTGTGTGTGTGTATTTAGAAGGCGGGGCGGGGGAAAATGGGTGGGAGTGGCGTGGTGGGGGGTAGGGGGGCGCCTGAGTTTTGTCCTGATGGTTGTTGAAATCGATTTTTGTGACAGGAACCTTGGGCATATGTCAACCCAATTACAATCCAAATCATGTTCCTTCAGTGCATTCTAAGCATGATGGGAGTTGCAATCAAGAGATTCTGGCAAGCTTGAAATGTAACTAATATTTCATGCCCATTTATAACTGGATTCACCATTACCCTTATTATTTTCAGGACCCTGGGTGGAAGAAACATAAATGCATTCAGTCATACACAGTAATTGTTATTCAATCATAAGAATATTCACATGTGCAAATACTCCCACATACCTCCCAATGGTCCCTATTTTAAGCCCAAATCACTTTTTTTCTAGCTGCTCCATATTGTTGGTAAGTGTATAACAGAGTTCCACAGCAATAATACTCACATTAATGTATCTTTAATTTACAATAAATGTTTTCAGAAATCAGACCATTAAATATTATATAATGTTCTCTTTGAGAAAGCCAGGAATCTTTGGTGAAATGCATTCATTTTATGGTTTTAATCATTAATTTTAATAAATTTAATTATTTTTAACCACATTTGAAATCTCCTGATTTTATGCAGAAGATTTTATTCAAAAATCCTGACATTATATTAATTGTTGGGGAATATGCCACCTGAGCTTTAAGGATTAAGCAAAGCCCAATTTTTGCTCTTCCCTAGTGAGTATATCTCCTTGTATCCCCTATATTTATTTTACTACAGAGAGTACTACATATATTTTTATTCTTTTATATATGGTGCATATCCTGTGACCCTTTGCAGCTACATTCATGTGCACTGGCAAGTGTAAATCCTGAATACCCTTAGCTAGGGAGCTTATGCAAAACCAGCTACCAAAACAGCTGTGAACAAGATAGACTCCCACACGCAAGATCAAGATATTCCACAGATAGATAGACTGTGATTATACCTCCCGAGAATATATTTGGAGCATATTAAAAGCTCCACACAAGTGTAAGTGCTTTTCCTTTTATTTATTCCACCAACTATCTGAAAATACTACACCATATTTAGTTTTTTGTTCTCTAGTTTGCATGTCTAATTTTCCTGACTGGGTTTTAAGGATACTTTTACAGCGCTGCTTCCATCAGTCCCTTTTCCACACCATCCATGACCAGAAAAAAGAGACTGGTTTGGGTTGTTCAAGCTGCCTACCTGCACTACAAACACGCGCTAGCGACGTTACCTTTTGTACAATTATACAAAGGTACAATGCATTTAATAAAAAAATAAAATAAAAAAAAAAGAGTACATTTCCATTAACGTTTTAAGAACAGATGTCACAGATGTTCAAAGAAGACAAATACATGCTTAATTAATGTAAAACATTAGCCACTTTCTAGTACTGATGCCCTATTACCAATATAATGCCACTCCCAAAGTCACAAAAAGTTCTTAAAGTCCACCATTGAGCAACATATCTTACGACTCAGGTGTTGGCAGATTACAATGTTTTTCAGTTTGTACTGAACCAAACATGTTTGTGTCATTACCTTTGATCGTCACTTTTCTTATTTTTTTTTACCTTAGTCATTTTTTTCTTTCAGGGTCCAAAGGTCATAAAGCAGGTTTTCTGTGGTAAACAGGAGGCCCAGGACAGTATAAATACCACTGTAGGCAGACTGTAAAAGGCAGTTTGTAAAGAGAAGGAAACAGATTAGTCAGCTAAAGTCTAGCAAACTAAGATTTAATGATGGAAATAGGAGTTGACGCTCTCCATGACTCTGGGCTTCAGATGGTCCAATATCTCCAGATGAACTACAAGAGTTCTCAAGACTGGTTCGTGTTTGTCTCATTTGCAGCTGATCTCAGAAACACATTCTTCATCTTCTTCCCTATTTGGTTTCACCTTTGTGAGTCAGTGGGCATCAAACTAATCTGGGTTGCTGTGATTGGGGACTGGTTGAATCTTGTCTTTAAATGGTAAGTTTATTTCCATATGTCATATCACAAAATATCTAGAAATGAATAAAACATGCTATTTTAATTGTGTGATGTGAATGCACTTGTTTGAAAATGAGGTTTGTTTCAGATGCATTTTAATTCTTTAGTTTCTTGTTAATTGTTTTACCCAAAATATGTTTCATATGTATATTTTAATCGCAAAACAGTAAACGGTGGTGAGGAAATAACTAGCATGAAAAATGCATGGTTATTTACTAAACTTAATTGTCAGGAATTCATAGTGACTTCAAAGTATATTTTCCCATTTAAAGCCAAAACTGCCATACTGAAAAAAAAATCAGCTTTGGTTCAAGATTGTCTACTTTGGGTTTACAGTTTAAATTTCATTGTGAATTCATGACAGTCTTAAGTTTAGAAAATAACCCTGTTAGACCAGTAGTTATTTATCACAATAAATTCAGTGGTTTTGTTTATTCCACTCCTAGGGTTATTATACATTGAAAAACAAAACTAATTTTAATTCAGAAATGGTTAAAGTTGAATGGCGACATCTCAATAATTATAGTGAAATAATTTACTTGCCAACTAGAGCTTAAACATATTTTGAATTGTACGTTATATGTTACCTTTCATTAATTTAACCAGAGTTATGGTATTTTACATCTAATTTTTCTTCAATTTCTGTTGCTAAACTATTTTACCGTAACACTTTTTTGATGATAATCTTTGTTACTATTATTCTGTGTATACATGCTTAGTTCTACTCATATCATAACTAACTGTATACATGCTTAGTTCTACTCATATCATAACTAACTTAGAGAAGAGTACTAATGACTGCAAACAAGATACATTTCCACTTCAACTGGTCAAGCATGATTACAGGGTTATTCACTAAAGTGAGAATTACCAGAAATTTAAAATTAATTCAAAGTGAATTTCAAGGTTTTGTCCAAAATAGTCGATTTGGAAATATTCTCTAAGTCAGTTCTGTGTTCAGTTTGGCTACATTTTAAATTCACTTTGTATCCCTGACTATTCTCACTTTCGTGAATAACCCTGTTATTTATACTCTAAATAAGAACAATACATCCACAAGTATTTTCACAATTAGTTTTTTTTTTCAATAGATTTTCCTATGCTACTTACTAGTTTTTTTGCTGAAGTTGTTTCCTGATGTCTCTAAACTAGAATGACATGTTAGCAATTGTGAAAAATGCATAAATCAGGGCTGCATTAGGTAAAATATGCTGTTGCATATGGAAACAGAACACTGCATTACAAAACAACTGTAAGGTATGTTGTACCTTATAGTTGTCTTATCTTGTGTACTCATATTGTGAAAATTAATAGCTGAACAAAAAAAATAACAGTTTCTTTTCTATTCCTACTGTTGTGGCATACAATGTGCAGTTTAGAAAATAATCCTGCAAGTTTTTAGAAAAACTGTGATGCACATTAAGAGAAACCATACTATCTACGACTGACAGTTTGTTCTTTTTTCATTTTTTTTTTGTACAGGATACTGTTTGGACAGAGGCCATATTGGTGGGTTCATGACACAGATTATTATGGAAATACTACCATTCCTGTAATTAAACAGTTTCCCGTCACCTGTGAGACTGGACCAGGTATGAAACATTTCATCACGTAGTAGATAATAAAAATAAATGAAAGAGATTGTCAACTCATACATTTCCATATAACTAATTTATCTTGTTATGATCTTCCAGGAAGTCCTTCAGGTCATGCCATGGGTTCTGCTGGTATTTACTATGTCATGGTGACAGCAATTCTTACAATTATGCTGAAGAAAAAGGAATCTGCCCTTACAAGCTGGTAAGTAGATGATAAAATAGCATTACTGTTAACTTATATAAAGTTAGACTTCTGGCACATATATTCACAACATCATATGTGGCATCATATAAAAAAACAAGCCTAATAACACTTTTAAATTTCTCTGATACATCCTCTTGTTTAGTAAGGGAAGTTAAACTAAATGCATGATTTATTCTATTAACCAGTCTATCAATCATTCAGATATGTATTTTCACATTTTAAGGTTTCAAAATAATAAAAAAATAATATATATATATATATACACATGTAAATATAAATATAAAGACTGAGCTTGTAGATGGAACCTGAAGTTGTATAAATACATTGGCTGCCCCTTATCCTGGGTCAATACTGCCTGGTTCAGCCCACCCACCGCTCCCTTTTAACAAGCCATTCAATTCTTGTGGACCCTCTTTTTACAGGCCTAATTGAGCGTCGGTTTTGGCTCACACCACCACGACTATAACTTGGCTCATTGTCCCTGACCACAAATAAATATATATATATATACTGCAAGGAATTCTGGGTGGGCATATGCAAATTAGTTCAACAAAGACTCACATTTTTGCCTTATTGTTCCATTTTATCCCTTGCAGTAGTAATATCACTGCAAATGTGAGATATCTGTGGGAAGAGTGTGAGTGTTTATTTTTATTTATTTTGTAATTTAAGAATAATTTTTCAGTCCATCTAAAAAAAAAAAAAAGTACAAGAGTATTTATTACACTATTGTAATATGACTAGCAACAAACTCTAAGCTATCCAAGTGTATGCAAACAAGCAAACTATATTTTTACTTCTATTCTAGGTGTGTGCGGGGAGCTCTTTGGTCCGTTTTCTGGGCTGTCCAGGTTTCCGTCTGTTTGTCTAGAATATTTTTAGCTGCACACTTTCCACACCAGGTGGTAGCTGGAGTGATATCAGGTGAGTCTTCCAAGTAACCTTGAAAGTGAGCATTATATATATTATGTTGAATAAGGTACCTTGCTTCCTAAATAACCCAAATAAATTGAATATGGAAAATTAGACACATAATGATAATTATCCAAATACATTTGCAAATTGGAGCATTAAAGGAGAACATTTAAAACTTTAACATACAGGTTTCTGCATTAGCCAAAAAAGCAACATATCCTCTTACAGCTAAATATCCTAAAACTAAATACTATATTCTTTATCATTTAACAGGGATGGTTGTAGCTGAAGCATTCCATCACACACAAGCAATCTACAAGGCAAGCCTGAAAGATTATGTCTACACCACTCTATTCCTTTTTTCCTTTGCGCTGGGGTTTTATCTTCTACTACGAGCTGTTGGTGTAGACCTTCTCTGGACTCTGGAAAAGGCTAAACGATGGTGTGAAAAGCCTGAGTGGATTCATATTGACACCACACCTTTCGCAGGCCTCCTTCGAAACTTAGGAATCTTTTTTGGTTTGGGTCTCGCTCTCAACTCCAAACTTTATCAAGACAGTTGTCGTGGAAAGCAAGGAGGTCAATTCAAGTTCCGCTTTTGTTGCATAATTGCATCTTTGTTTATCCTCCATCTTTTTGATTCATTTAAGCCACCTACCAAAGTAGAAATTATTTTCTACGCCCTTTCCTTCTGCAAAAGTGCTGCTGTACCACTAGCTGCAGTTGGCATTATTCCTTATTGTGTGTCTCAGCTGCTCAACCAACAGACGAAAAAGACTCTATAGTAGGTTTCTTAATAATTTATAGTTTCTAATAATCTTTAACTTGACTAGAAAAACATAGTCCTTATATGTACATGAAGCTTTTCTGTTTAACACAAGATGTTATTTAAATGTGAGCAACAGTTGGGTGACTGGGCATATTATGTTGTCTAGAAGATTCTGTACGGGGAAGCCATCAATGCTGATATTCAGGTGGTTGATGGCATGGATTTAGTTTACTAAGAACTCAGAAAGTTGAAGGCCAATAACTTAATAATATTGTGGAAGATAAACATAGAAGACTTACAAATGATAGGAAGTCGGAATGCAAAGACTGGACATATTGTGGTGCTTCCAAAGTGTGTTACCAATCCTATCAAAAAAAGCTACATTTGATATCCATGTACCTCAGTAGCCAAACAAAATATTACAATATGAAGTTAGTTTGCATAGTCCTTGCAAATCAATTGGACAGCAGGAACCATTTATTTCAGAACATTTCAGAAATAGAACAAGCAGTAGCTCATTTGTTCATTCAACATGTAATTGTATTTTAGAGCAATTTTTAATGGCGCTGAAATGGTCAAAACTCCTTTGTGTAAAAAAAAAAAAAAAAAAGTTGTATATCAGGGAGGAATTTTTGGTTACTTTTAGCATCTATTCTAATATTTATATTTATTCTCATAAGTGACCATCAAATGTTTTTCCATCACTTAAATTGTATATTTTGTCATATTTCACTTTGTTATTTTCATTAAAAATAGTTTTGTTTTTTTTATAAAAAAGGCTTTTCATTTATAAAAAATTGGTGGAACAGTAATGTGACAAACTTCATCATAAAAATATGCATTTGTGACTAGTATGTTGTTACAAAAAAAAGGACGGGGACATCACAGATTTAATATAGCAGTCAAGTTTCACATTAAAAATGACTATGAGATGCTTCATAAGCCAGCAAATAATCAGCACAGTAACTACCTTCCTATAGGTGATGTGCACTAAACACCATGCATCTTGCAATTCCACCTGTAATATGAGAGAAATGTCTGGTAACGTAAGGGTTGGAAACCTACACATAGCAGTATTTGATTATTCTTTGTGGACTGTAAAACAGTCTGATATATAGAAGTGGCACTAGACTTCGTGAGACCCTAGGCAGGGGCATTTTAGCCGCGAAGCAAACAAGGCATTTGCCTTGGGCGGCATTTTTCAGGGGGCGGTAAAAAACGCAGCCCCCAAATGCCCAGGGCAAATGCCTTGTTAGCCTTGCGGCTAACAGACATGCTGTGCGCTGGGCGGGCGGCGCTGGGCGGGCGGCTGGCGAGGGAGCTCTTCCTCTGAGCTGTCCGCTCAGCTCCATCGCGCGCCACAGAGTGAGGCTGGGAGCCGGGTTGATGACGTCATATTCCGGTTCCAGCCTCACTCTGCGGTGCGCGAGGGAGCTGAGCGGACAGCTCAGAGGAAGAGCTCCCTCGCCAGCCGCCTGCCCAGCCCAGCCCAGCCCAGCGCCGCCCACAGCCACTGGACCACCAGGGAGAAAGAGAACCCCCCCCCCAGCATTCCCAAAGGTAAGGGGGGGGGGTAAATTAAAATGTGTTAGTGTGTGTGTGTCTGACTGTGTGAGTGTGTCTGCTAGTGTGTGTCTGCTAGTGAGTTAGTGTGTGTCTGTTAGTGTGTGTCTGACTGTGTGTGTCTGTTAGTGTGTATCTGTGTGTCTGACTGTGTGTGTCTGTTAGTGTGTGTGTGTATGTGTGTGTCTGACTGTGTGTGTCTGTTAGTGTGTGTCTGACTGTTTGTGTCTGACTGTGTGTGTCTGACTGTGTGTGTCTGACTGTGTGTGTCTGTTAGTGTGTATGTGTGTGTCTGACTGTGTCTGTCAGTGTGTGTGTGTGTCTGACAGTTTGTGTCTGTTAGTGTGTATGTGTGTCTGTTAGTGTGTGTATCTGACTGTGTGTCTGTTAGTGTGTGTGTGTGTGTCTGTGTGTCTGTTAGTGTGTGTGTGTGTCTGACAGTTTATGTCTGTTAGTGTGTGTCTGACTGTGTGTATGTGTGTGTCTGACTGTGTGTCAGTGAGTGTGCGTGTCTACTAGTGTGTGTGTGTCTGTTAGTGTGTGTCTGACTATGTGTGTGTCTGTTAGTGTGAGTGTGTTTGCCTGTGAGTGTGTGTGTCTGTAGTGTGTGTGTGCATATCTGTCAGTGAATGTGTGTGTATTTAGGGGTGGGGAAGGGTTGGGTGGGGCTGGCACAGGGGGTTTGCAGGGGCACCTGAGTTTTGTCCTGCCTAGGGCAGCACAAAACCAGGATACACCACTGACCCTAGGCACAGTTTATAATTCATAATTCTCGATTCAGGCCAGTTACTAAAACCCAGTCTTTCATAATCTCACATTTTTTCTCAAACCATTAATCAATATTCCTAATAGCAATTATAATACCCTGATCCAAATAATAACCTCTTCGTTCTAATCTTTTCATTGCCCCCATGACCACAATCCCCTCATCCAACAGTAACCAAATCATATTATCTCAGCCTCATAACCACTACAGTCCTATCATTCCTATATCTGCCCCAGATTTTTAATCATCTCCAGCTCTTCCCACATTACCTTATCCCCATATACCCATCACCTGTGATCTCACCTCTCTAATCATCTAAATAAGCCTTTCAGCAGCCAGAGTCCTCTATTGTAATCCTTGTTCCTCGCAGTGCACTCATGTGGGGGTGAATTTCTGTGGAGTGTTATTGTGCAAATATGGGGGTGTATTTCATAGCAGCACATGGGAGTTGTATTTCTGAAGATTGTCACTGTGATGTGAGGTGTATTTCTGCAGAATGTCTGCATGTGAATGTGGGGAGTATTTCTGCAGAGCATCAGTGTGTAAATGTCACCGGTATTTCTGTGGATCATCAGTATGTAAAAGTGGGGTATAGTTCTGTGGATTGTAAGTGTGAATGTGGAATGTATCCAGATAAAACATCAGTTGGTGAGAGTGGGGTCTATTTCTGTGAAGTGTCAGTGTGTGAATGAGGAGTGCATTTCTGAGTGGCAGCATGTGAAGATGGGGTGTATTTCTGCATAGAATCATTTTGTATACAATTGGCCTGTATGTCTGTGGGTGTCACTGTGTAAATGTGGAGTGTATTTCTGCAGAATATCTATACGTGAAAAAGGGGCGTATTTCTGCAGATTGAAATTGTATGAATGTGGGGTATATTTCTATGAAGCATCAGTATGTGAATGTGGTGTGTTTTTCTGTGGAGTGTTGGTGTGTTAACGTAGAGCAGGGGTGTCCAAAAGTTAGATCCAGCTTCCATGAAGCTTTGTCATTCAAAAATAATTCCAAAGGTATGCCCAGCATCAGTTGTAGTTCTACCTTTTGGGCACACATGATGTAGAGTGAATTTCTATAAAGCATCAGTAGTGTGTTTCTGTGGACTGTCTGTGTGAGTTGTATTTCTGAGGTGTTAGTGTGTGAATGTGGAGTGTATTTATATGAAGTGTCAATATGTGAATGTGTAGTTCATTTCTATGAAGCTTCTGTATGTGAATGTGTTGTGTGTTTCTGCAGGATGCCAGTGTGGGAATGTCTACAAACTGTAAATGTTCCAAAGAGTCAGATTGTGAATACAGAATGTATTTTGGTTATTATGTGAATGTTGGGTGCATTTCTGTGAGGCTTCTATGAATCAAGTGTATATTTTCATGAAATGTAAGTGTGTGAATTGGGTGTTTTTTATTTTGTTAAATGTTAGTGTATGTGCAGTTTGAGTGTACTGAATGTATAGGCTGTGTGTTTTCTTTATGGAATGTGTGTAATTGTATGAATCCATGCACTGACCCTCCTTCCTCGGTTTAAAAGGGAGTGGCCCTTTTCCTTTCCAACCATTCTCTACTAATGCAATGCATTATGTATATGTATGTATATATTGATGGGCGCTTTCCAGGAACCAGGGGACCCCTCCAACAATTTGCATAATGTGCTGCCAGCTTAGGCTAAGCAGAGGGAAATGGGTAGCTGTTATATATTGAACCAAAATTACAGCATGCAGCAGGATTAGCATGCTGGTTGGGGAGACAGCAGGTACCTATGGAATTTAAGTCCCTAGTGTTAAAGCCACCATTGACTTGGTTCATGGCCCCAATTTGTGCAAGGCATTAGGCATTTCCCTTAATAGTGTAATGCTGGCATCACCCCTGTCAGTCTTTGTTATTGTCCAGGAGCATTAATGTGGCATTACTTCAACTCTAATTTTTCCTATGACTAGCCCAAATGCTCCTTACATGTAACTTATGGTGAAAATTCAATAAACATACAAATAATCAAAACATACAGGGAATTATAATAAGACAATAACATATTTACAAAGGGGTGGGGAAGTCACTAACAATGCAAAATATCTCTCCTGCATGTAGAATTGGCTATATGCAAATCTACTTGAATATGCAAATTAACCAGCCTTGCTATTCAGGTAGTGCATATTGCTGTTGCTACCAACAGAGGGTACTTTACAGGCTCCATAGCCAAATCCACTAGTTGGGAACAAACACCAGCAGGACAGGAGAGCACACAAAACAATTAACAATATACAAACACATTATAAACACCCTGAACCTATAATGGGTACAGGGTGATTTAGACATAGGAAAAATTTAGGAACTTTTGTAAAGTGTTCTTCTGCTCCCAGTGACCATGACTACCATCACACAGGGCTGCTGTCATTAAGATTGCTGGGAGAAAATGGATCACCACAAATATCACTAGTACAGACAGGTTGGTTGACATTAACATACAATTGAAGAGAAATCAAGCAAATTGGAAGGAGGAGAGTGGGATAATGCCAACGCCCTAAAGTAAGGCATGGGCCATTGATTCCTTTGGATTACCAGATCAGGATGGAAGGAAGGAAGGGATGAATTTGTGGGCAGCTGACGACCCACTCACCTGATTCATCCCAGGGCAAAGACTTTTGCATTCCTTCAGTTTGGGCATGCTTACTGCCAGAATGTCAATCCAGTGCCCTAGTGAGTAACTACCTGTGCTGGTGGAAAGTAGCAGGCATTGCTCAAAGGGAGGGAAACATCCACTTGTTGACCAAATTGACAATGATTTACGTGTGACAACCTACCAGTTTGTTTGTTTGAAGAGGAATCAGAACAGCAACCCTTTGCAAACACAACCTTCCCAGGTGCCTACAGGATACAGGAACCTGGGAGATCTATGAGGGCATGGGTGCCTTTATTTACAGAGGAAGCAAAGAAAAAGGTAGGCAAAGAAAGGTGTCAGACAATCCAAAGTCAGATACGTGTGATGGTGAGGTTCCTAGTGCTTGTTAGATCCAGGTATGGCAGATGGTACTTCCCAAACCAGAGTCTCTTCCATCTGGCAGTAACCAGTCCTCAAACTCGTATGGTGGTAAGTATGGAAAAAAACAGAATATAGTGTAATATATTCTATATGTGGTGAGGTAAAATAAGCAAAATTCCACTTACAATTTTCTGGAGATTATGTTCAGCTCCAGATATATGTGGCTCGGCAGTATGATCCCCGCCTGTGGATATGTCGCATAGCTTGGTTCCTTGGTTCCAGGATCAAGCGTCAGAGTGTCGAGCATTCACTGGTATTTCCCTCCAAATTGCAGTGTCACAGATATTCATCAAGTACATAAAATGAGAATAAAAAACGAAAAATAGTGGTCTCTGTTATGTTGTTATAAAAGCAAAATAAAAGGAGGTATACTCACAAAAGGAGAACAAAAATTAGGGTTTTTTCCCAATCCTGTGTA